CTCCTCCTCCTCCTCCTCCTCCTGGTGACCCTCCTCCTCCTCCTCCTCCTCCTGGTGACCCTCCTCCTCCTCCTCCTGGTGACTCTCCTCCTCTCAGATGAAGTGAACCTCTCACACTGAGCACATCTCCTTCTCTGTGAGTCTTCTTTAAATTTTATTTGTTTTTTTTCTTGTTGTATCAAAGATCCTCTGTGATCAGGACGAGGTCTCACTCTGTCTCCTTCCTCTCAGACTCAGGGAAATGTCTGATTATTTGCCAGCAGCTGATTGGTCCTTGGTCTCCAGGTGTGAGACATCTCCAGGTTTCAACACAAAGGTCAGAACCTGTAGACCGCAGGAGTTCCTCTGCTCCATGATAGCTTGGAGAACGTTTTTAAACTTTATTTAGACATGAACATTTTGTTGTTTTAACTTGAAGTGAGAAAATATTGTTTTATTTTAAAACTGCTCTTTTGTTTCATTTTGTCTTTTCCAGATTGGCCCCGCCCTTTCAGACTCTTTCCTCCAACCTCGTGGCCCGTCCAGCGAAGCCTGCCCACATCCTCTGGGTCCTTGTCCCTGGTTGGAGGATTGCAGCTGTCAGTCATTCACCTCTGTCTGCAGCCCGCCTCCTCCTTCCCCTGCCTTTTATGGGCATCTGGGTCTGACTTCTCCTCCTGACTTCCGCCTGTCCTCGGGTCCTGAGTGGAGCCGTTTCCATGGCGACCCATTCACTCCTCCCTGCTCCTCAGCAGGTGATTGGATGTCACGTGACAGGTGTTCACCAGGTGAGTGACGTGTGTCAGGTCAGTGCCTACGCCTTGGACACGCCCACTGACCTCAGCATTTTGTGTGTGTGTGTGTGTGTGTAGCGCAGAGAGTGTGTATGAGCTGCGGGTCGAGCAGCGCCCCTCTGTGGAGGAGAGCCGCTGCAGGCCAACACCTGTGTTACACCTGCAGCAGGAAACAGGAAGTGGGCGGGAACGAGCCGCTGCTGAGGCCGAGGAGGAGGGCTGTGAGAGTGCGCACACACACACTACACTCCAGATAAAACCGGCTTGTTGTGTTTTTATAACGGATCAGAACTTCTTGGTGTTCCAGGTTCCGTCGGTCCGAAAAGGAACTCGATGTTCAGACTGTGAGACAGAAACCACGACTCTGTGGAGGAGAAACGCCGCGGGACAGCCGGTCTGCAACGCCTGCGGCCTCTACTACAGACTGCACCAGGTACGTCACATGGGCCGGTACCACGCTGAACCGGTACCACGCACAGTCCCAGGTTCTGATGCCGACCCTGCTGTCTGCAGGTCAGTCGGCCGCTCGACTTGAAGAAGGAAAGACTCCAAACCAGAAACCGTAAAGTGACTAACAAGAAGGGGACGAAGAGGAGGAGTGGCCAATCAGAGAGTCCAGCCTAGCCCCGCCCACCTGGCTGCACTGGGACTATTTGTTTATGATGGGCGGATGGATACGCTCTGTTTGCTTGTTTACCAACACTTAATAAACAACAACATTTCATGAGCTTCTGATGTGAATTTATATTAAATTTATCGTGAGTTTGGAATCGTGAAAATAGACTGTGACCTTTGACCTCTGAGCTGAGGCGTGCCTTACAGCTGGAGAGGTTACTTCAGGTCAAAATGAGTAAACATAAAAACGATCTGTTCAGGATGAGCTGCTGGTTACCTGACACTCATCAGAGGGGCCACCTGTACAACAATCCAGGTGTGCCATCACAACACCAAGGTGGAAAGACATCAGCAGTGACCTCAGGGAGTCGTTGTCCATCAACCTGAGAAAGATCAACGGCCATTTAAAGTCTCATTCTACAGAAAGAGGCTCACCCTGAAGGTCAGACTGTGCAGTAACCCTGCAGGCCTCAGCAGGTCAAAGGTCATGGTATCTTCTCACTAAAAAACATGGCTGCACGTTTTTTCCTTTGGTCTTCAAGACTTTTTGTTTCATTTTAGCAGGATTTGGTTGGTTGGAAGGATATTTGGTGTTTTTGGATTTAGAAGCTGAAGGTTCTGAGAACCCAGTTCTGGAGTCAGATGAGAGTCCGTCTGTCCAACAGCTGAAGCCGGGACCAAACTGGGTCCAGCAGGACCATGATCCAGAACACAGCAGGTTCCATCAGAACCTCTGGATGACAGCTGACGGATACTCTGACTGATGCAAACATCGATTTCACTGGATCAGAGGCAAAGTGACCCCCCCCCCAAGGCCCCCGGGGACTGCGGCCCCAGGCCTGCAGGTTTGTCGCTTGAAGCGATGACAGATGTGAGCTTGTTGCAGCTGGAACAGACAGTGAAGGCAGCACCCCCCCGCCCCCCACACACCCCCAGAGCCTCCTGCTGCTGGAGGCCGAGGTTGTGCAACGCAGGAGGTTCTGGTTTTCCGGACCCAGAAAAAAAAGGCTAAGAGAGGAAAAGGGAGATGACACAGGGCGGTTGGTGGTCTGAGGCTGGTCAGAGATGCTGCGCATCCTCCCTGTGTGTGTGTGTGTGTGTGTGTGTGTGTGTGTGTGTGTGTGTGTGTGTGTGTGTGTGTGTGTGTGTGTGTGTGTGTGTGTGTGTGTGTGTGGCATCCAGGCATCAACGGCAAAAACATCAGCAACCACAACGCACACACTCAGACAGTTACCGCGTGGTCACATGACCTTCACTCTGCCGCCGACGTTCAACTGTCAGAAAACTGCAGACTCTCAGGTGGAGCCTGAAGGTGGGGGCATCAGGCAGGGTCAAAGGTCAACAGGGATCTGGTACCCACAGGTCCGGCCCTCTGACCACAGACGTCTCAGAGGAAATACAGGGAGCGTGTGGAATCTGCCCACCAGAGCCACGACCCGAGGCGCGTGTGGCATGGACTGCATCACAGACGACAAGAGAAGGAGCAGGTCTGTGGAGATGACCTGCGCATCGTCCATGGACGAGCTCAACACCTCCAACAAACATCACCACGCATGTCACCAGATGTGGACTCTGTTTGGACACTGCTGCAGTGAGACGAGCGTTCAAGAAGGTAAACCCTCACAAGATCCCAGGGCCTGGTGGCATCCAAGGACGGCTGAGAGTGTGCTCTGACCAACTCTCCAAGGTGCTTACCAACATCTGGAACCTGGCTCTGGACCAGTGTCCACCATCTTCAAGACCTCCATTGTTGTCCCCATCCCAAATACCTCTGCAGCATCCTGCCTCCGGGGCCGTTCACACGGCGCCGCACCTCCTCTGCCGTGCAGCTCACACCAGGCCCCGCCCTCGCTGAAGCCAGACGTTTCTCAACCCACCTCAGAGTGGAGGTTCTCAGGTGACCTCCCACAGAGTGGTTAAAGTACATGCACACTACAGGTGTAGTTTTTGATTTGACCTTTATTTGACCTTTATTTGACCTTTACTTAACCTTTATTTAACCTTTACTTAACCTTAACTTAACCTTTACTTAACCTTAACTTAACCTTTACTTAACCTTTACTTAACCTTTACTTAACCTTAACTTAACCTTTACTTAACCTTTACTTGACCTTTACTTGACCTTTAGTTGACCTTCACTTAACCTTAACTTAACCTTTACTTAACCTTTACTTAACCTTTACTTAACCTTTACTTAACTTTTACTTAACCTTTATTTAACCTTTACTTAACCTTTACTTAACCTTTACTTAACCTTTACTTAACTTTTACTTAACCTTTATTTAACCTTTATTTAACCTTACTTAACCTTTACTTAACCTTTATTTAACCTTTACTTAACCTTTATTTAACCAGTGAGATCCCAGATCTGTTTTTCACCGGAGTCCTGGGCCTGAATCAGTCTAACATGCATGTGTTCGGTCTGTGGGAGGAAACCGGAGCACCCCAAGAAAACTCACGCAGCACGGAGAGAACATGCAGACTCCACCCAGAAAGACCCCAGGTCCAACCAGGGATTGAACCCAGGACCTTCTTGCTGTGAGGCAACAGTGCTCACCACTGATCCATCGTGCTGTACATTTCACACACGCGCAGACCAACGGTATATTTCTATCAACGACAGCAGAGACGAACATGCTGCTTTCTGTGCCACGACTGGAATATATTTTAGTTAATCTGCACCAGAGTGCAGCTGCTGTGACCACATCTGTGCTGGAAGAGCCGCCGGTCGGATCCAGTTCTGATATCGCTCACGAGCCTGTGGAGGCAGGCGTGTATTCCCCGTGTGCAACACTAAAAGTGCTAAATAATAACAGTAACAACAATAAACAGTGTTTCTGTGGAAGGTGTCATGTGGACATTATGTAATTCAAGTTATGTGATTTAAACGATGATGTGAAACATGTGGTGATATTAAAGTTGAAAATGAGGTTTAATTTTTATGTATTTATTCAACAGCACACACTGTATGTCACAACACTGGTAAGAAAACTGATCACCATGCGACCACCCACGTGCCTCCCTAAAGCCTGTTTATACCTCTAACGTACCCACATCCCAATCAATAATTAATACATACACTAAACTAATTACTAATTTATTTTAAACAATTAGAAACAAAAATACTCATTTAAATCTAACCATCAAATCTCTCTCAGGCACCCCCCCAATCATCTGACCTCCCATCACAACTTCTCGTTAACTCTGTTCCTGTGTCAAATCAGCATGAGATCCTGAACTGTCTCAACAAACACTTTGTTGCTTCTGGTTCTTTATTTGACACAGTAACTAATGGAAGATCAGCCACTTCACTTAATAACCAAACTTCTACAAATCAAATCCCTCCTACAAGTCAATCCTCAGTTAATCACAGCTTCTCTTTTTCTCCATTCTCAGTCAGTGAGGTCAATAAACTGTTAAAAGATCTTGATCCTAAAAAATCTGCAGGTCCAGATGAACTTCCACCTTATTTCTTAAGGCTGGCTGCTCATATCATCACAGTCCCTGTGACCCACATCTTCAATCTCTCCATGAGACAAAACTCCATCCAGACACTTGGAAAACAGCCTTTGTTCTTCCTTTGCTGAAGGGAGGAGACCCCACCTCACTGAACAACTATGGACCAATCTCTAAACTCTGCATTTTAGCCAAGGTTCTAGAAAAACTGATAAACTCTCAAATCAAAAATGACCTGGACTCATTTAACATCTTACCTCGACATCAATCTGGTTTCAGGAAACAACACAGCACAACCACTGCTTCACTGAAGGTTCTTAATGACGTTGTTGAAGCACTGGATGCTAAGGATTATTGTGCTACACTTTTCTTAGACCTGTCTAAAGATTCTGACACTGTGGATCAGAACATCTTGTGTCAGAAGATCTCAGAAACTGGTTTCTCAGATCACACCATTGGTTGGTTCTCTAACTATCTTTCAGATCTGAGGCAATGTGTTCAACATTCTTCCAGTTATTCAAGGATTTTTTATCGTCATACCAGCTCACATTTCACATGTTTATGGTATGAAATTCTGACTCAGGTTACAGAACAAGAAGCCTAAAAATTAACAAATAAATACAAGAGTATATTTGTAATTTATATATGTATACATTTTATACATACAGACACTTTCCAAAAAATTAGAATATCATGGAAAAGTTGTTCAACTTCCATAATTTCATTCAAAAAGTTGATCTTTAATAGTTGATAGATTCAGGGCCCACAAATTTAAACTATTTCAAGTATTTGTTTGTTTATTTTTACATAATTTGGGCTTCGACCTCATGAAACCCATGAAAACAGGATTTAAAAAAAATCATAATACTGTGAAGACATCAGTCCACACTTCTCAGTTTTTACAGAAAAAAAATAAAAATAAATTAGGATCAGAACAAATCAATCAAAATATGGTTCTTTCAAATCAATATGTCAATAATCAATACTTGGTTGTGAATCTCTTTGTCTTAATCTCTGCCTCCATGTGACATTAAGACAATCAGCCTGTGGCACTGACTGGGAGTTATGGAATTGAGACAATCAGCCTGTGGCATTGACTGGGAGTTATGGAATTGAGACAATCAGCCTGTGGCATTGACTGGGAGTTATGGAATTGAGACAATCAGCCTGTGGCATTGACTGGGAGTTATGGAAGCCCAGATTTCCTTGATGCTGTCAGATCTTCTTTGTTGTTGGGTCTGGTGCTCCTCATGTTCCTCTTGAGAAGACCCCATAGGTCTCGATGAACTCTGCATCTCCATACAGATCCTCAGCAGAAGGAATCATGAAGTCCTCTAAAACATTCTGGTAGACTGTTGCTGTGACCTTGGATTTAAGAAAGCAGAGTTTACCAACACCTGCACCGGACACTGCACCCAGATCATGACTGACTGGATATTTCACACTGGACCTCAACCAGTATGGGTTCTGTTCCTCACCCTGACAGATTCTGGATCTTCTCTGTTTGATGATCCGCTGAAGCCCACGGTCATCTCTGTTGCTGGTGCATCTTC